ATTTTTACTTAACTTGCATTAAGTTCTCCCAGATTCCTCCTGAGGTTGGGAACAAAAGAACCATAAAAGGAATGAGACAATTCAGTCTCATTCATTTCTCTCTCCCTCTCTCAGTCTCTCACTTTCAGGAACCTCTGCAATTCTAAAGACAAAACTACTATATCCGTATTTCTCCTTCCATAAGTGTTATTTTTATATCCCCAGAAGAAAGCAACAGGTCACTAGATGTGTAAGATAATACTATAATTTGGTATTAAATCACATTTTCATTACCATTTTGTATCACTTAATATAGCTATTAAAGTAGTTTGGGATCTGTGTCTATGATATAGTACACTTAAATTCAACTATATTCAATTTAATGATAAGACTCAGGGATTTAAAATAGCATCCAAAGACAAACCCAAATCCAGAACAAACCACAAGTAATTTACTAAATCAGCAAACAAATCAGAAGCAAATATTTGCTTAAGCAAACAGCAAATATTTTCTCAAGAAATATTAAACCAATGCAAGGTAGAATCTAAACCGGCAAATTTTTAAAAAATACTGAATATGGCAAATGTACAATCTCTAACATGCCTAACTTGCAAGACATTTCATTCAGAATGGAGACATCACCTATGATAGAATCATTATGGTAAATCAAGTTAGTTGATCTTAATGAAGAGAGTAAAAAGCTAAACATGACCAAACTTTACCACCTGACTTTCATCTTTACCAGGCCCCAGTTTAATTTGATCTGACTCCTAATATCCCTCAGATTGCTATAGTCCAATTCTTAGCACTGAGCCTCATATCTCTACCTCCCATACTCCTATACTGTCCACTGCCTTCATGCCTTACCCAGGCCCAGAGATTATCATGTAATTCTAGAACTCAGATAATGAGTATGAAGGGAGGATAAAAGAGAGAAGAAAGAAATTACAAATGTCCTGTGTCCTCCATTCCTAGGCAAGTATCCTAGGAAGTTATCTATGGGGTAAGATTCCCACCACCTCTCACCGCAAGTAAAAACTTAAAGCTGACACATCTGTCTCCTACCAGTCTTCTTGACAGTTTTATGAGGGCTGCAGTCAATGCTGACATGTGTGCTGAAGTCTTCAATAAGCTGCATAGCTCCCATCAAGTTACAGGGTTGGAACAGGGTCTGAAACTTGGGGTTGTACTGATGGTGAAGGGCGATGGAGCTTTGAGCAAAGGTTCCCAGCTCTTTCTGGGAAAACAGGACACAAGGAAGATCTAAGACAATTCCAGATAATTAATACCAGTAGCCTTCAGAATCTAAATGAGAAGCTGACCTTCCTACTACAGGATAAAAACAGGTAAAAATCATCATAAAGTCTTTCACAATAAACTACTCTGTTAAGATTACGCGTGAGTTCTCAGATATTCAGGGATTATATTCTTGTTTTATTTTTAAACTGTTTATCACTAAGGAATACATGGTCTAGCTCCCGAGCTAGAGTTAAGAGGCTGAAGAATGAGGACTATTACTTTAATTTACTTACTTTGAGACGAGGTCTCGCTCTGCCGCTCAGGCTGGAGTGCAGTGGCACAATCTCAGCTCACTGCAACCTCCTCCTCCCAGGCTCAAGCCATCCTCCCACCGCTGCCTCCTGAGAAGCTGGGACTATAGGCATACACCTCCACACGTAGCTAATTTTTGTATTTTTTGTAGAGACAGAGTTTCATCATGTTGAGCAGGCTGATCTCGCACTCCTGGGCTCGCAATCTGCCTGACTCGGCCTCTCATAGTGCTGGGATTACAGGGATGAGCCACCTCACCCGACCAGGACATTACTTTTAAAACTGTTTTGTCTTTTGGTCTCAGAATAATGCCTACAACCAAGTACTCCTCATCCTCCTCTGAATACAGTAAGAGATGAAGACATCCTGTTGATCACCAAGTAAGTTTTAGAGTAGCAAATGTATTCTTCAAACTCCAAAGACGACTTGTTGAAGAAGCTGAGAGTATTATCATTACCTGTCCAAAAGTTTGAGGCAACTTTTATGAGGTAAAATTTGGTTTTGTTTTTGTGAGACAGGTTCCCACTTTGTCACCTGGGCTGGAGTGATGTATAATCATAGCTCATTACAGTCTCAATGTCCCAGGCTCAAGTGATCCTCCTACCTCAGTCTCCCAAGTTGCTGGGACTACAGGAACTCGGCACTATCCCCAGCTAATTTTTTTTTTTTAAGTTTTTTGGTAGAGATGGGGTCTTACTGTGTTGCCCAGGCTGGTCTCAAACTCCTAGGCTCAAGCAATTCCTCCCACCTTGACCTACCAAAGTGCTGGGACTACAGGCATAAGCCATCACACCTGGCCAAATTTCAAATTTAAAAGCTCAAAATACCTCAAAACGTTACGAGCAAAACTAGCTCTACACATAAAACACTAATAGTGAGCGTAATGAATGGATGATGAATTCAACACCTACATGCGTATTTACTTTACAATTTTTTTTTTTTTTTT